CCGACGCCTTGACGTCTGGCAGCGACGACGGCGACACCACGTCGGCGACGGCCGCGCCGACACTTGGTGGCGGCGTAAAGAGGTACGTGTCGGCGTTCGCGAGCTGCGGGTGCTGCACGGCGCGAAGGGCGAGCTCGAGACGGCGGACTTTGGCCACTAGCAACATGGACGACATCGAGTCATGCGTGCATGGATGAATGGCGCGTACGAGGCAGCTCGGGCAAGTCTTGTTTGAACGGCGTGTACACTTCGTCGTGGTCGAGGTCGACAAGCACCGTGCGCGTCGCGTAGAGCTCGCTGGGGTACGTAAACGACTCGTCTGGCGTCTTGAGCACGATGTTGGCGCGCTGGAGGTTGCTCAAGCTGCTACCTACTCGCCACATTGTGTCAGGCGGACGACGACTGTGGCACAAGGCAGCGCACGGATGCGGTGCGTGTGGCTCTCGGCACGGCGGAGATGGATCGCGGCTTCGAGTCCAATCAAGAGGGGACCTTCGTGCTTGAGCTGCGCGGCGACGTTGGTCGGGCAGAAGGGCAAGTACGTGTGCTACAGAGGATCCATGTGACGCGCCGTCGACACGAGGGCGTGGTGTCCGACCTTGAAGCGGAACGGAGCAAAGAGGCGGAGAAGCGACTCGGCGCCGGTGAAGAGCGTGTCGCGTTGGCGTGCGATCAAGATGACGCGGTGCTCGACGAGGAGCGCCGTCAGCGCCAGCACGATGTTCTGCGTCCGTCGTGTCAAAGTGTAGCACCGATATGCGGACGTACCTGGACGTTGAGGTTGCGGAAGAGGGCGCTCGGGACGTCGTCCGCCGCCTGGGCGGGGGCAGCTGCATGTGGAGCGTAAAGGCGCGATACGGAGGCTCGAGCACGATCTCGCGCTGGCGCTGCTGCGCTTCATGGTACTGCCGATGGGCGTCTTCGACGGCTTTGACCCACACGGATGCATCGTTCGTGTCCTATACGTTATCATCGCATCTTCTTGATACGTTGATAGAAAGCGACAATACGTGCGAAATGGACGGCAAGGACGCTTGGAGATACGGCGCGAGGTGCCAAAACGACGTCGACGTGAGCACACACGTGAACGTCGGGAGGAACACGAGCTGGTCCGGATCGATCGTCTTGTTGACGGTCCACGTCGTAAAGCAGAGTCCGTACCGCGTGCCCGTCGGCGTCGGGACCGCAAAGGCGTGCACGCGCGGCGCTTCGGGACCACTTCGGCGCGGCCGCAAGACGACCGGAAGGCGGTCGCGTACGAGGCAGAATTGCTGCCATCCCATCAATAGTGAGTGACCTCTTGGACACGATGTCGTACCTTGATGTCGTCGTGGCCGTCGTCGGCGCCGCAGCAGAGGTAGTATTCGTACTGGAAGGCGGTCTCGCCCACTGTGGCATAGAACGTCGTGCTTGTCGTCTTGGCGGGCGCGACGCCGACGCCAAAGACCACCACGTGGAGGTCGAGGAGCGCGTCCGTCGTGCACACGACGGCGTACTCGGTCGCACGGAGCGTGCTCTCGATGCAAAAGCCCTTGGGCAACGCACACGGCTCGTCAACGGACGGCGGTGAGAGCGGCAGCAGCAGCACGTGTTTAGCGTCGCGCTTGGGCGCACACGCTTTTCGGCAGAGGACGTCGTCGTCGAGCCACGCGAGCTCGACGAGGAGCTGGATGCAGTGCAGCGAATTTTTGAAATTGGGAAAAATCTTGGCGCTGAGCCATTTGAGCACTTGGTCTTGCGCGCCTTTGAAGAGACTCACGTAGCGCTGCGGCGAGAACGGCTCGCCTTGGTACATGAGAATGCGCGAGAGCACGTCCTTCTTCGTGTCGTCCGAGACGATCGACGCGTTGTTCTCGGCCAAGTAGACGTTGAAGAGGCGGCGGACGGTCACTTGAATCTCCTCAAAGAGGCTCAACGAGAACGTCATGGACGGCGACACAAGCGGCGCGAACGTCGTCTGCACGTCGACATAGAAGAGGAGGTTGGTCACGCCACTCGGGTTGAACTCGACAAGCCACTGCTCGAGGAACCGGAGCTTGACCGGGTTGCACTCGCCGATTACGTCGTGCAAGGACAGCGGGTAGCGCTCGCGAATCGCGTTGCAAAAGTCGCCAAACATGTCGCTCCCAAAGAAGGTCGACCACTCGAGCGTCGCCTTGATGCGCTTGTCGAGCTCGTGCCACATGTCGAGCGTCGTCGTCCGCTGGTCGACCGCGTCGAGGAGCGTCGTGAGCAGACCGTCTTCGAGGCAGATGGCCAGGCGCGCATCCGGTGGCATCAAGTGGCTGCGCACCATGGCCTCGGCCTGCCCGCGATCCCATGAGGCCATGCTTCGGATCGGACGGTGGTACCTGCTCTTGGCGCTTGGCCGCGTCGGGCTGCCGCTTGTACTTGTAGATGTCGGCGATGAAGTTGTAGACGGCCTCGAGCCCATGCTGGCAAAGGTACATGTACAGGATGCGATCATGCGGCGACCCGAGGAGCGCATCGAGCGAGAGGTGCAGGTCCTCGCCGCTGTGCGTCTTCACCGTTTCCATGATCGCCGATCGAAAATATGCAATTCCGTCGCCGACATACTGGCTAATCACACGCCACAATCCCATGTTCAACAAAGGTGCAAAAGGATGAAAATATGCATGCGATGGAGCATAAGGTGTCTACTTGGTATGCAGCGTCGTCTTGCGCTTGAGGAGCTGGAACGCGTAGCGCTTGGCCTCCATTGCGTCGCAGCGCTGCTGCTGCGTGTAGAGGCACGAAAACACCTTGAGACCGGCGTCGTACGGGTTGATGTACGCGCGCTTCTCGTCCTTCTCGCGCAGCGCAGCCGTCATGGCCATGAGCCGCCCAAACGCGTACCGCAGCTGCTCGTCTGGACTCATGTCGGCCAGCTTTCCCTGCCGCATCGTCGTCACGACGAGCGACTTGTGCGCCGTCTCGCGCTTGTAGTCCTTCTGGAGGTACTTGGCGATCGCGGGCGTCACAGGCACGAAGCTCTGGTTGAGCTCCTGCCACCTACACGTGCGTGCTCAGCCACGTGCGACACGTGCTCTCGATCGACGTACCACGAAAAGTACAAGACGATCGTGGCCGCCATGAGGAGCGCCATGGCCAGAAACTGCTCGCGCTGGCCGACCTCGAGGATGACAAAGAGAACGCACGCCTGCGCATGCAAGGTTAGCGCCGAGCAGACAAGTCAACGCGACCTCGAAGATGAGGAGGCACACAAACACAATGTTGTAGGCCGAGCGCGCCACGTCGCCGCGCCCCGAGCTCCGCGGGTGCACGTAGAGCAGGTTGTACTTCATCGTGTAAAACTTCATGTAAAAGTAGAGCGCGCCAAACGGCGTCAGGAGCGGCGAGAGCACGATGCCGAGGAGGGCGACCATAAAGACGCTATATCCGAAAGCGCGTCAATCGACTTGACCTCTGGATAGTTGGTACCTGAGCACGATCGAGTAGTCGTAGCCATAGTAGAAAGGCCACGGCATATCGGCTTCCTTCATTTCGGCGGCCGTGATCGCGCGGGCCTTGAGCCTACGGTATCGTTGATAGAACCAGCAAACAACGATGGAGGAGACAGCGTACCACGGCTGGTAGACGAGGCGCTCGCCAATGCGCAGCAGTTGGAAGATCGAGCCGAGAAAGGCCCTACATCAAGTAGTCGAACGACGACACGAGACGACGACGAGGACGCTACCGCTGGCAGACGTAGGCGATGAAAAAGTTGCGGCACAGTTGAAACATAAACTTCTCAACGTACGCGACTTCGGACCCGCGGTCAAAGCCCCCTTGGCCGTTCGCCAAGTAGACGGCCGTGACGCCGATCGACGGCAGAATGATCGAGCTCTACGGCAGGTTCACGTTTCTAATCTTTCACGTCAGGACGTACGAGGAGGAGGTAGGCAAAGCCCTTGCGCAGAAAACTGCGCTGGCGCTCCGACTCGGAGAGCCATGGCTCAAAGAACGACGTGTAAAAGAGACACGTGAGCAAGCACCAGTTGACAATGATCTACCGCATCGTCGTCCATGAGAGCGAGGATGGAGACGACGACGACGTACGAGCATGAGCGAGGGCAAGTACGCGGTAATAAACTTGGTCACGACGTTGTCGACTTCGCGCGTGAAGAGCTTGTACACGGGGCTGTCGTTGTCGAGGTTGACGTAGATGAGGACGGCGGTCGGCGTTGAAAACACCACGAGGATGAACAGCGTCGTGCACTGGTAAAAGATAAACTTGAGAAAGCGCTTGATGGACCGCGGCTGGTACGTCTACATCGATACGCGACATGTCGCCAAGCATCCGAGCACCATGCTACAATACCAGATTGGTCCAGTTGACGTCTTGTGGCTCTGGCGCGTTCTGCACGACGAGGGGCTTGAGGACACTCAGATCTTGCGGCTCGGCGTTCTCTTCGAGCTCGAGCAAGTCGCGCTGCGAGATTTGCGGCCAGTGCAGCATCTTCTTGGAGCGCTTCGCCTTGGCCACGAGCTCGAGGAACCGACCTTTGGCCTCGGTCTAAACACACACAACGATAGTTGGCGAGCCCGGCCCGAGGACGTACACTGCGAAAGACGACGAACGCCGCGCCCGTGCCCCGCCGCTGGGCGTAGAGCTCAAGGACATGCTAGACGCAAAAAGTCACTTCAATCAACGGCAACAACGAAGGACGGACCTTGGGGAACGAGTTGAGGCGGTCACGAATCGCTTCGGCGCGCTGGCGGTCGCGCGGCAAGGCAAGCTCCAGAATGCGTTCAATGTCGCGGTCGCCACTGTGGTTGGGCGAGTACTCGATCGCGTTTCGCCCGCCCGAGCGCGCGCAGCACAGCGCCTTGCACGGAAGGCACTGCGTGAACGAGCGGAAGACGTTCGGGATCGACGGGCAGCAAAACGACCCGGGGCACCAGAGCATGAAGCTCGGGAGCGTCCCGGATTGCTGCTTGGCGTACGTTTGCAAGAGACGGTTGTACTCGCTACGCAGCGCGACACGCTCGTCCAAAATGCGGTAGAGTGCCTGGAGGTCATGGACGGCGACCGCGGTCTTGATATCGTCCACAGGAAAGAAGGTTGCGAGCTGCCGCTTGAGCTGGTAGCTGCTCCACTCTTTCGGAAGACCGGCGTGGATGAGGATGCTGCGTGCGCCGAGCATGCGCGTGGCGTCGACATGCAAGCGGCGCCCGACCGCGTTTTGCCTAGTGCAATGCATTCATGCAGCCAATTGTAGCAGTCTGGAATACCGCTTGAGAAGAAAAATGATGAGCGCCGCGGTGACATAGCACATGGCGACGTGGCCCCAGTACCACGGACTCTGGAGCGGCACATTGCCGATCGTCGTCTGCTGAAACGCGACGATGCTGCCGTCGCGGCTGTCGCGGCCCGAGACATAGTGCTACACACAACCCGTTCCACGATGCGATCCGAAGGCAGGGGCCGTACGATGGGCATGAGGACGCCGATGCTGAGGACGCTCATGATGGCGAAGAAATGGGCCATGTCCTTTTGCAGATGCATGCTCAGCGCGGCGTCGACGCCGGCAATGTCGACGACGTCCTTGCTGTCGCAGGGCAGCGAGAAGAAGCGCTGGAGGCGCTCGCAGACCGTCGGCGCACAGATCGACGCGTACTTGTCCTGAAACTTGATGGACGTCAAGCCTTCGTAGTTGAACTTTTCAAACAGGCCTTCGCGGTGGGCGTTCCAGAACGGCACGGCGAGATGCGGCCAGACGCGGCGAATGAGGAAGAGAAGAAAACCCGCGCCAAAGACGGCAACGTTGAGCTGCACTTGGAACCAGATGCCTTCCCAGCCGTCGTTGGCGTTGAGCACGAGGATCACCGACTCGTCGTGGTTGGTCTCGTAGCTCGGGCCTTCCGCGAGATGGTACTGGATGTAGTAGCGACCTTCGCCGTGGCCCACAATGTTGAAGGCCGATGCATTCGCGCCTGGTATCCCCGAATTAGACGATAGAATCGATGGACGAAAGGTACCGGCAGAGATGCGCACGGGTTGGGCGTAATGACGGGAAAGCTACCGGCGCCGGCGCCTCCACGGCTCGTGAGGATCATCTTGACCAGAAGGTCCGAGGCAGGCGGCGGGTCGCAGGAGATACCCGTCGTGATGTTGCCGCCGACGACGAGCACGAGGCTTCCTGACGGGAACTTAAGCTTACCGACGTCCGCGAGCGCGGCCAGCGCCGTCCACGCGACCAGAGCAAGGCGCAGGAGCAGCATCCGTCCGTCCCTGCTTGCTACCGATTGTGTTGCGTTCAAAAAGTCACAACCCCGATACGCACTTGATCGAAATTATCTCTGTATTTGTATATAGCTCGTTAAAGTACGGTTTGCACTTGCGACGACCCTCTGCAAGCGAGTCGATCTTTCACGGATCCAGCGCTGGTCCTATCATACCTCTTCCTCTGCCCAGCGCTACCGGTAGTGCTCTATACTACATCACTGCGCGTTGTGATTTTCTCTCTCTGAATTCGTTGCTAAACTATTCTACCAAAACGTGATTTTAACCACCAGAACAGGCCACAACTCGACAACAGACAGTTGGGCACCATGGCACTATGGACTGAGGCGAAGCATACATTGTCCAGACGATGGCATTTTTCCTAACAGTAAAGATGAAAGCTGCTTTCACCTTCAACTTAAATCATGACATCAGCGCGTGCGCGCGCAACGTACCATAGCTTGATGCGCCTCCTTGCACGAATCGACTAGTCAAGCTCATCAGCAAGGGCCGCGCGACCTGCCTCGGCATGTTGCAAGTAAACGTCGGTTCGTCTCTGGAATCGTGACATTCGAATCATAATGAGACCCCAAACGTCCTCGTCAATCTCGCTGCGCTACATAACGTGACATGTTGCCCTCTTGACTACGACACAAGCAATGGTATCCAAAGGTGCAATTGTACGGGAGTTTTTTTCAAAAGTTACTACTTTTGACCCAATATTTGCAAAAGTTACTACCTTGCGAGCCTATATTGAAAAAGGTTACTACCTCGACGGGATTGGTCGAAATGCTGAATAAAGCCTGCGAATCAAGATGGAGCACACGCAAATAGTGTTAAATGTATCTTGTGAGTTGCGAGCTGCGATCGATGTCTGCACTCGCGAAAAGTAAAATTAGAACAACTACTTGCCGCTTCTGTCATGCCTTGCCGCTTCGGTCATGTCATTGGAGAACCTTCACCATGGCAGCACCTCAAGAGACTGCCCCTGCATCAACCGCCGCTTCTCATCGCGTGGCGAATACACGGCATATCTGAAGGCGTGGTCGCTCCAGAACGGCTTCAGTGTATTGCAGGGTACGATCCTCGATGGCTAGCGTCGTCGAAGAAGGGCCAGTTTACGACGATAGCTTCGGGCGAAAAACTCAGAAGTTCGGGCAATGTTGTCGTCTATACGTGCAACCCACCAAACCAATGCAATTGGACGATCCAGGCAACCAAGCCGAAGAATAGCTCGATTCACACAATCGCGGGTTTGGTCTATTCTGTGAAATAGGTGTTTTAGTGCAACCCGTAGCAATGAATCTCGAGCACTCCGATACGTGTGCGTTTACGCCAAAAGCGTCCGTTCGCCAAATCGCGCAAATACCAGCTATCGCGGAGATCGTTCAGGCAACCCCGGCCTTTTCGGTGTGCGCTCGTCAAATTTCGTGGGGTCCGCCAATGCGAAAAGTACAGTACAACTCTATCCACTCGCGGCTATCGCAACTTTCGTAGACATCCACAATGGCGTCCGGTACAGCCTCCCATTTGCCGCCCTCTTCATCATCATGGAGGACGCCATGACAACGGCCTCGAAGCGCGTCTCCGAGGTCGAGGATATGGACCAGACACGCAAACTGACGCCGTATGCCGCCAAGGAATACGCGGACCAGAAGAAGAAAGCCCGGGGTTACAACATCTCGCGGTCGAGCAGCGACCTGTATTACGTCAGCCACAAAAGTCGTCCGTTCGTCAAGAAGAGCGTCCACGTTGAATTTCTAACGTGCAGCTGCGTGTACCGTGATCAAATGCACATGCCGTGCCGTCATTTGATCCGCGTGTTCGCATTTCTCGACCGCTGTGATCGCATCTTAGATGGCTCCACCCGATGTTTCTCTTCGAGAACTACAAGAAAGCAGTCACCGGAGTCTCGTACAAGCTGCCGCTCTATGACCGAGACGTCCCGGACCGCGCCGTCTTGGCGCCGCTGGTCGAGCGCCGCCAGGGCAGACCACGTTCGAGGCGCATTGCTAGCAAGGGCGAGAGTGGCGGCAAGAAGACGGCGGCCAAGCCGACGACGACGAGGCGGAGTATCAGCCAAGAACATACAAATGCAGCAAGTGCGGGAAGGAAGGCCACAACGCCGCTACGTGCAAGAAGCGCGCGACCAAGCTCGTGCCAGCTACATCGAGCGGGACGAGCTACCTTCGACAGGACGCGGCGCCCACGCCTTCGACCATGCAGATTGCCAGCATTGTCAATCCGACGGCCAGTACCCGCAGCCCGTCGGATTCCGAATTCGAGTCCGACTCGTCCAGTGGCGAATCCGCCTCAAACGAGGCCGGACACGACGTCGACGCGCTCGTCGACTCGCTCGGTTTCGCCAAGGGGCAGGCGAGCGCACTGATGGCCTCGGAGGACATCGCGAGTGCAGACATCGATCGCAGCTCGCAACTCACAAGATACATTTAACACTATTTGCGTGTGCTCCATCTTGATTCGCAGGCTTTATTCAGCATTTCGACCAATCCCGTCGAGGTAGTAACCTTTTTCAATATAGGCTCGCAAGGTAGTAACTTTTGCAAATATTGGGTCAAAAGTAGTAACTTTTGAAAAAAACTCATTGTACGGAGCTCGCAGATGGTCTGCATGGCACTGTAGTCAGCAGAGCTAATCAGCAGTGTCCAACGCCATGTCTTATGTCCTGTGGCCAATAGTTTTCAATACGTTACGTGGTATTCAATCCTCCAACACGTCCTCAATTTCGAAAGTTCGCGACGCCTATAGGGTTGGGCTATGAAAACTTTGCTCGTTTCTCGCAATGGCTCGGCAGTGTCGACGAACGGCGGCAACAGCCGGTTCCAGCAGCCGGCCGCCATGACGATGTGAAGATCAAAATATGTGAAGATGCCATGACGCAGCCTTACCACCAGCCTCGTGGTACACTACGCTGTGTCCAACGTGCCATGTCGTGCGTGCGATTGACAACATCTTCCTGTTTACATTTATCATGCCGCCACTGTTACATGCACCGAGTTATTAGCTGTTTCTGCCGAGTCTTTGCCAGCGGCTCGCTTTCGACGCAGGAGTGTCCGCCTCCACTCGCACGATGCATCGAGATGCGACAACTGTGGAACGGTCGCCACGGCGTTTGCGACGGCAAACGTGGAAGGATCCGAGGTCGGTTGCCGTTTCGAGCCGAGGGCGCTCGGTGGACTACATGATAAAAAGTACATGCATCTAATGTTCGCACCTCCTCCGAAGTCCAAAATCGACGCCTTGCGAGCCGCCAATTTATTTGAAACAGACGGCGGTTTCACCAGATGTTGTGTGAAAAGTAGGTGACGTGGTCAGCTCCGCAGCAGCAGTGTGCAATTTGTCCATAAATACAACAACTACACGCATGGCGACTGCACTCTTTCTCCAAAAGACATTTGAGATGCTCAACCTCTCGCACCCGGAGGTGGCAGCGTGGACACCGGACGGCCGCGCGTTCACGGTCTACGACCTCAAGACCTTCGAGTCGACGATGCTCGTGCGCTTCTTCCGCCACGGCCACTTTAGCAGCTTTGCGCGCCAACTGCGTTTTTATGGTTTCACCAAGTGCCGACGCCACCAGCACGTCGAGAAGGAGCCAGCGTTGGAGTTTATGCACCCCCACTTCCAGCGCGACGACCCGATGCTCATGATGTGCATCACAAGAAACACCAACCCGGCCATGAAGGCAAGCAACAACGCTACCAACAACGACGTCCACGAGCTCCAACAGCGCGTCGAGACGCTTGGAAACCATATAAACGCGCTCACGACCCAGCTGGATTTGCTCACGAATCTGCTGGCAGCACGAGGCATGGCCCCTCCAACGGCACATAATCCCGCCGAGGACACGACAACGACCGCGCTCAGCGAGTTTTTTTGTACTGACGAGTGTAGCGGACTTCAATAACAAGATCCCAGCAACTTCTTGCGCCATGATGAAATGATTCCACGTGGTGTCCATCACGAAAAAGATAAAAACTGGGATTATAAAACAACACACGTGGAGGACATTGAGTTCTTAGTTGCGCGCGACGTTGCAGACACCGGTGCACGTCGCACCCTTGAGCTGTCCGCCGTTGGTGGTGCCCGTCAGCACCTTGTACGCCTTGGGCTCGAGCTCGACGTACGCACCTTTCGTGAGCCCGACACCGGACGCTTGGAATGAAATGACGCACGATACCTTCTTCCCGAGATAGCTCACGGCCATCGACTTATCGCACGACGGTGTGTAGACATTGGCCCCCGGCGGCTTGGGCGACCCGCAAAAGAGCGTCGAGGCCGGCCACCGCCCGCGGATACCGGGGCAGTCGACGCCAACGTGGCTTTCAACAGCCAAGTTGACAAGGATCGGAACGGCCGCTTGGACGGTCGCGAGTGCGGCGGCGAGGAGAGTCAAAAGCTGCATACTGGAAATTGGAAAATGACACCACACTGCATATACTAGCAGCACCGAGCCGCTGCGCGGCTCGACCCATTTCTTCTTTCTGGCCACGTGGTCGTTCGATCCCAGCGCTGGTGCTCGCTGCGATCGAACGAGTTCGAATTGCCGTGCGAGATTGGAGTACTGTTTGCAGTCGATACTGCATCCCACCCAACGAGATTCTTGCGAGTAATAGCCGCATACTTGGCTGTGCGGCAAGGATACAGATCGTGCTAAAACCATGGACGTCCCAAGCCAAACATTCAGTTGATGATCGAGATACCCAAGCCACTCGACGTGGTCGGAGCCTCGCGACGCGCAGCACTTTTCGTACGACATGTGTTGCGATTTGCGTGCGTATAGCCCATGGTCATGCAAGCAACCGTGCGGGACCGAATGCTGGAATGGGTGAACACGGGACGGCAAAGCCCACACTGCCAAGTACCGCGCGTTGTTTACACATCAAATGTCGTTGTGAAGGCCTTAAGCCGTCTTGTAGACGGAAATGTAGTGGGTGCCTTGGCTGGCGCGGCGGCTGTCCTGTTTGGCGAGCCGGTCAAAGTACGACGACGATTTCGTGTCGGCGACGCCGCACTCTTTCGGAGGGTCGCCCATGTACAAGTGAAAAGACCCACTCGTCGTCTCGAGGACAGTGGCCTTCTTGAGAACGACGCCCTTGACGCCGTGCACGCGCGCGACGATCTTGAGCAGCATCTGCGCATACCACTTGTTGTCGGTCACGATTGTGAGCCGGCCGTTGGGCTTGAGCAAGCGCGCGCAGTCGGTCAAGAAGCCTTGGGTCAAGAGGTGCTTGGCTTGCGACGAGTCGCCACCGGTTTGCTGCGGCGGCTCGGGAAAGTTGATAAAAATAAAGTCCACAAGGCCCGGCGTCAAGTGCTGCGGCACCGCGACCGATGCGTCACCGGCGACAATGCACAAGTTGTCCACGCGCTCAAAGACCGCTTGCGTGAAGATCTGGTACACGCGGTCGTGGCGAATCTCGAGCGCGACCCAGTTGGCGTTCGGATCCTTCTTGGCCTGGGACACGACCCACTCGCCCGCGCCGGAGCAGATCTCCATCTTGATGGCCTTGGTACTCTTCTTGCCAAAGACCTTGTCCATGCGGATGACCGCGTTGTCGCGGACGCGCGACGCAAAGGCTGGTACAATGGCCTCAGTCTGGTCGGCGTCGTGC